GAGGGAGGGAGGAAGAGGAGGAGGAGGAGTCCGTAGCCATTTTGGCGCAAGCCGCGACGCGCTCCCTGACCATCTTGGTTCAACCAGGCTTGGCATGGCGGCGCGGGCACGCGGCATGGCTGCGGGGGGCCGCCGCTGGCTGGCGGTGCGGCCCATGCGCGCCCAGGACGACACCAACCTCGGGCGCTCAGCGGCGAGGCGGCACGCCAGGCGGCGTGGTCGCGAGGCATGCGAGCGTGCATTCTGGCGCTGTCTGCACGGAACACGCGGTCAGCCCGACCTAGAGGGAGGGCGGCTGGCCTCTCTCGCCGACGACGTCAACGGGAGGGAGCGACTTGCGAGGCCTGCTTTCGCCGCCGGAGTCCAGGGCGTGACGGCCTCAGCGGAGCGCGTGCTTGTGCGAAGCTGCGCTCTGCACGCCCGTCAGCTGCCTCCTGACGGGGCGCCCGCGGCGGCTTGGCGGGTCGCCCAGCGCGGTCCGCGACTCGGGAGGGCCTGCGCAGGCAGCTCGCAGCGCGACGACGCTCAGCACGCCGTGTTGTCCGCTGTAACCGAGGAATCCGAGGACTCTGCATCCCCCGTTTGCGCGGGCCCACCGGAGGCAGCGGAGCAGGTCGCCCATAAGTACATCGTCATAGAGATCCCGCCGCTGCAGCTGCCGCCGCTCATCCCCGATGTATCCTCTGACTACCAAGGCAACGACGGCTACGACAGCTACGACTTCGATGAACACTGCGACTTCGGCGACTTCGGCGGCGACGGCGGCACTTCTCGGCCCGCCGTCGCTTACCCCGCGGCCGCCCTGCTGCACGCGGCAGCGGTGGAGGCCGCGCGCGCAGCCACCGCGCGCCGCAACAGCGACCGCAAGTACAACCAGAAGGACCCAGATGACCAGAAGGAGGACCCAGACGACCAGAAGGGGGATTCGAAGGAGGATCCAGGCGAGGAAAACCGCGCGCTGAGCGACCATGAAGCGTTGGTCGAGCCAGACAGCGTGAACGGGATCCCGCATGCCAGTGACCTCGTCATACCGAGGGCCACAAAGACACCGAGTACGCGGCGGGACTGGCCCCCCTTAAACGGGCCGCCCGACACCATGGACATCAGAGAGGAGCCGCGCAGAGTACGAGCAGGAGGACGCGGAAGACAGCGACGCGGACTGCGAGGCGCAGCTCGGGGAGCTCGAGGAGCACCACGTGCACACCGACCACTGCACCGCGGAGGGCACAGGCGACAACCCTCTTGAGATCGACAGGGCCGCCCGGGAGCGACGCCGACTCCCGCCGACAATCTGAAGCCCGTGGCGCGTCTTCGAGGATGACCTCGGGGACGAGATGGCGGAGGCAACCAACAAGAACGAGGAGGACTTGGCAGCCCTGCGAGCGCGCTGGGACACAGTACGATCGATGGGAGCGTCCGCGGCGTACGCGCAGCTCCCGCAAGACCAGCGCAACACCTGCGAGGACACGACGATTGCCGAGCTGGCCGCCTGCGCGAACTTTCTGCGCTACGGCGTGCAAGGCGGCTGCTCGGAGGAGGTGGCAGCGGAGGCATGGTGCAGCCTCAACTGCGAAGAGATGCGGACTGGCTCACGGAGGACCCCAGGGCAACGCTCGCCGCGGACCCGCGGTGGGCTCCGCTACTCAAGAAGGAGAAGCTGACAGACAGTTGCGACCACTTCCCCAAGAAGAAGCACCACTCGAAGATGGTGCGCTTCCGCCTTCCCGGGTCCGCGGCCGCCGAGGGCGACGCGTCCGAGCACGACGACGCCTACGGCCAGCGCGAGACCGAGGAAGGCACCGCGACCAGCCCCAGGACCACTCCTTCCAGGAGGATTCCGACGGCTACCACAGCGAGTACGGGGGCGGCGCGAGGCAGCCTGCGAGGCGATGCCCACCCCAGCAGGGCGAGGGGTTAGGCCCAAGCTCGCGGACGCCGTGTACAGCGACTCCTTCGACTGGGACATCATCGTCACGCCAGCGGGGCGAGGGGTTAGGCCCAGGGTGCAGCCCGCCCCAGCAGGGGGAGGGGTCAGGCCCACCGGTGGAGAGGACGAGTGCATCGAGTTCAACAACCGCGTGTACGACATCTTCTGAGGCTTCGCCGCCGCTGCTGTGCTGCAGAGCCTATATTGAAGGGTCTTGCAAAGAGGAGGAGGAGGCGGAGGAGGAGGAGGAGGAGGAGGAGGAGGAGGAGGAGGAGAAAACGGAGGAGGAGGAGGAGGAGGAGGAGGAGGAGGAGGAGGAGAAAAAGGAGGAGGAGGAGGAGGAGGAGGAGGAGGAGGAGGAGGGAGGAGGAGGAGGAGGAGGGGAGGAGGAGGAGGAGGAGGAGGGGAAGGGGAAGGGGAAGGGGAAGGGGAAGGGGAAGGGGAAGGGGAAGGGGAAGGGGGAGGAGGGAGGGGGAGGAGGGAGGAGCGGAGGGAGGGAGGAGGGAGGGAGGGGAGGGAGGGAGGGAGGGAGGGAGGGAGGGAGGGAGGGAGGGAGGGAGGGGGGGGGGAGGAGAGAGGAGGAGGAGGAGGAGGAGGAGGAGGAGAGCAGGAGGAGGAGGAGGAGGAGGAGGAGGAGCAGGAGGAGGAGGAGGGAGGAGGAGGAGGGAGGAGGAGGAGCAGGAGGAGGCGGAGGAGGAGGAGGAGGGAGGAGGAGGACCCTAAGGATCCAGGCGTTGCAATTTCGTCTCACGGGTTCGGGTCCGCCGAAAATGGGTTCAGCGCCGGCGGGAATCAGCCAGTCCCCTCCGGTGCTGGCCTGGGTTTGGGAGCTGTGTGTGCGGCCAGCCCCCCCCGCCCCCGCCCTCCGCGGACCCAGGCCTGAAGGAGCTCCTTCGTGGATGGCTCGGGTTCCTTCGGCGTGGCCCGGGCCGAACCGGGTTCACGCGCCGAAGCGGGTCAGCGCGTCCCCGACCAGATGTGGCCATGTCCAAAGCCTCCTGGTGTCCTGGGACGGAAACAGGAACATATACACTACCAGTGGCGGGCTGTGTTGATTCCCGGGACTCTTTGAGGGTCCGGGACGACGTCTGGGTGGTGTGGTGTAATAGTTTTGGTTCCTTTGGCAAACAACAGAACATAGATACACCAGGGCCCCCTATATACCAGGATCCGCTTTCCTATGTAAATTGTAGTGCACGGCCAGCAGCATGCGCCGGTGTATAGAGCTCGTTTCCCCAACATGGGCTTCTCTGGCAGTGGTTGCGCGTGAAATCTTGTCGCTTCGCGAATCCTCTCAGCAGCCCATGCAGAAGCGAAGATCTGGAGAGGGGGCCGTAGTTGATACGCATAGAGCTGAGAAAAAGAGGCCAGCTCCGCTGGAAGCCTCTTCGCGACGTCGTGAAACCATCTCGGAACTCACTGGGGGCCTTTTGGGAGCCCTCGAGGCCCTCTTGGGGCTATCTTGTGGCCCCCCTTAGGTGCATTGGATGCCCTCTTACGGCCATCTTGGAGGCCGTTGGACAACACAAAAGGAACGGCTCTAATTCGCTTATGCGTATATACATATCCACATCTGTATATGTATATGTCGAAATTGTTCCCAACCCTCTTGCGTTGAGTGCTGGTTTTGAATCAAGCTCTGCCCGCGTGTCTTCTCCTTCTTCCGCCTTTCGCCTCCTCTGCCCTTCTCTCCTGCCTCCCAGCTCGCTCCTTTCTGCGTGCCAGCTTGCTTCCTACTTGGCCATCCCTGGGGGTTTGCGATCAGCGAAGCTGTCGCCACATTCGAGAGCTGGTGGGGAGCGCAGCGGAGTGACGTTTTACCCAGATTCGAGTGAGACCTCGCCCTCCCTGGGGGGTTGCGATCTGCGAAACCGTCGCCACTTTCGAGGGCTGCTGGGGAGTGCAGCGGAGTGACGTCTTACCCAAATCAGGATAAGACCTCGCCGTCCCTGGGGAGCTGCGATTTGCAATGCCGTCACCACATTCGAGGGCTGCTGGGGAATGCAGCGGAGTGACGTCTTACCCAGACTCGAAGGAGACCTCGCCATCCGTGGGGGGTTGCGATCTGCGAAGTTGTCGCCACATTCGAGGGCTGCTGGGGAGTGTAGCGGAGTGACGTCTTTCCCAGACTCAGATGGGACCTCGCCATCCCTGGGGGTCTGCGATCTGCGAAGTTGTCGCCACTTTCGAGGGCTGCTGGGGGTTCCAGCGGAGTCTTACCCAGACTCAGACGATACCTCGCCATCTTTGGGGCTGTGATCTGCGAAGCCGTCGCCACTTTCGAGGGCTGCTAGGGGGTGCAGCGGAGTGACGTCTTACGCAAATCCAGATGAGACCTCGCCCCGTTTTTTGAACGTCGTCGGAGTTCTAGATACCCTGTGCAAGATCATAAATTCTGGTAGGTACCTATGAAAAGGGGGACCTTGAAGGGAGGGCTTATTGCACCAGCGTTGATGGACTTTGGGTTTGCGCTGGTCCTCCTCCTCCTCCTCCTCCTCCTCGTCCTCCTCGTCCTCCTCCTCCTCCTCCTCTTCCTCCTCCTCCTCCTCCTCCTCCTCCTCCTCCTCCTCCTCCCCCTCCCCTGCCCCCTTATCCTCCTCCTCTTCCTCGCCCTCTTCCATTCCTGCCTCTGCCTTGATCATGTCAATTTCGGCACGCCTTTCACACGTTTCGTGGCCCCACAGGGAATTCCATTGAGGGCCCGAGTGGCTGCGTTCGCATGGGGCCCCGCCCCATTCTGGCACGCCCATCACACGTTTCGTGGCCCTATAGGGCGCTCCACCTACGGCCCCATTGCGTTCGCCTGGCGGCTCCGCTCCATTTCGGTACGCCTCTCACACGTTCCATGGCCCCCAAGCCAGGGGTTCCACTGAAGGCCCCAGCGGCTGCGTTTGCATGGCAGCCCCACTCCAGGTTGGCGCGCCCTCATAAGTTTCATACGCACCGAAGAATGTGTGGGTTCTTCGCCTGTCATTTTTTGGGACGGTGGCGGGTGGAGGGCCGCATCGGTTTTTGGTCGGCGGCCGGGCGAATGGGAGATGGGGTCTTCATGCATGGAGAGCGGTGATGAGCCCCTTCCCGATGGGGAAGGAGGTTGGAAAAAGCATCTCCACAAACTACGTACAGTCGGACCGAGGTATAAGATCGAGGTCGGTTCGGGGAGGGTACCTTAGTGTTCTTCGTGCTTGTTGGATGGTCTTGTGCATCCTGGGGCAGGGTGCCCTTTGATGTTCTGTGTGTTTTGGCCGACGGAGGGTCTCATGTTCTTGAAGGATGTTTCGGGGAGACGTGAGACTCGAGTAAGCCGGAACTCGGGTTTGCCGATTTTTTTTGACGAGCGCGTCCTGGATTTCGACGGTCCCGTTTTCGTGGGATGTTTGCAGCAGGGGCCCGCGTCAAATTTCCGATTGGGTCTCGGCATTTTTACGACGCCCCCGTCAGGCCAACCCGAGTCCCCCGTACCCGAGTCTTACGTCTCCCCGAATGTTCTTCTGTCCTAGGTCCGACTGTACGCCCAGGGGGCTGGCGAGATTCCGGCCTCGGACCTTCGGGGGTAGGCGGCTCCCCGTCCGGGGCGGCTAAAAGCCTTCCCAAGATTCTGCGCCCGATGGCGTCCAGACCTCTTCGGCGCGCGCCAGTCATAAAAATGCGCTGAGCTCTGAAGGCGCTGCAGAGGTCCACGTGCCGTCCTTCCTCTCTTCGCTCCTGTCTCTTGTATTGCTTTGCGTTTGTGTGTGTGTGTGTGTGTCTGTTGTCAGTTTTTCTTAGCACAGCAGTCGACTGTGCTCGATTGTTCCTGGGGTCGCCAGTTCTAGCCTCGCTGTCCCATCAATGGGCCAATCCTTGCGCGTGTCCTGTCTTGTGCTGTGCACCGCCAGTTGGTGTCATTGGTGGCCGCTGGCACGCCGACTCTTCTCTCTACTGCCTTCCATCTGCAACGTCTGGTGGCAGGTTAGACGATAGCTGGTGTCCGTTGCCATTATTCACGACGGTGGCGCCACTTCGCTAGTGGTGGAAAAGTCGCAGCCACCGCTCATGTTTTGTGTACGCGACTCGTCCTGCGTTGTCCTCCCATCTGCAACGCCAGGTGGAATTGACGCTAAGCGTGTCCCGCCTTAGACTATCGCTGTAGGGATGTCTCTCGGCCGCTTGAGGGAAAAGTGCGAATGTGTGTGTGTGTGTGTGTTTGTGCTTCCCACGTATTCCTGCTTGACTTGCCCTACGCTGCGCCGGTGCGCGCGTGGCCGCGACGCCTATTTTTACATGTATGTGTAGGTATACACATAGATGCATGTGAATATATATATATATATACATAGATATGTCCACATATTCCCCGAGCAGTGCTTGCCCTTGGCGGGCTTCTTACTTCTGTTCTAGGGAGTTGTGCTGGTGTGCCGCTCTGGCAGCTATGTTGCCGCCGTCGCCGCCCCGTCGCCACCTCGTCGCCGCCCGTCGTCTGGGCTGGTGTGCCGCTCTGGCGGCTATCTTGCCGCCGTCGCCGCTCCGTTGCCGCCTCGTCGCCGCCCGTCGTTTGGGCCGGTGTGCCGTTCTGGGGGCGATGTTGCCGCCGTCGCCGCTCCGTCGCCGCCTCGTCCCGCTGGTCGTCTGGGCCTGCCTGCTGGTCTGGCGGGTATGTTGCCGCCGATGCCGTCCCGTCGCCGCTTCGTCGCCGCCCACATAGATAGCAGACCACATGGATTGCATCACTAGATTGCGCCACGTGTGTTGCACGACATATAGTGCGCAACATAGTGTCTACAGTATGTATGTATGCATGTATGTATGTATGTATGCATGCATGCATGCATGCATGCATGTATGTATGTATGTATGTATGTATGTATGTATGTATGCATGTATGTATGTATGTATGTATGTATGTATG